GCTACTGAATTAATTACTAATTGATATTATATCTAACAATATAACTTGCACGTAGAAGTTCTCCAATCATAATTTAATTCCAATATCGTTTCATCAGCGCCAAAAAAGAGACTAATAAAAATTTGTGTGCATCCATATAGTTGCGCATAATGATTAATAAATCACCGTGATAATGTTGAACTACTGAACTACGTATACATACATCTGACAAAAAAGTGGCGAAAAGCCAAGCCCAGTGCCTAGCAGACAAAAATTATTGATGCAATAATTACAGTATCATTTCTGTTATTAGTTCTTCTGGCGGAGATAAAGCTAAATGATCAACATACCCCACAATCCAATATATGCATGATCGATCACCCGTGACATATCTTGTCCTTTACTCTGTTTTTGACCAACGATTTTTGGCACCAACGATTCATAAATCACAATCCTAGGCTTTGCATCTAGACGTGAGACTTGCAAATTAAAGATTGGCGAATTTGGCAAAACATAAACAGGAAGCTTTGAAACTGACGCGCACCTAACCATGTTCCTGCACTTGAAATTAAACCCTAAGGACCCAGCCCCTCTCTCTCTCTCTCTCTCTCTTTCTGCCATCTTTTCTGAATGAACAGCTCCATCACGCTCGGAATCACAATTATACTCTTTACCGAATATATAATACTGTGCCTTTTAAAGCCCTAGCATTTGGTGGTACTGAGTAGGGCTTCCTTTATTCTCTCTTTTTTGTTCTTTATCCTTATATATGCATGCATGTGAGACTTTCTCATCATTTTCCACGTACTGATGGGCCTATATGGTGTCCTTCCATGCAAGATCACTCAAGACAACCACTGTTCCTCCACTTTAATAAACTGGCCTCATAAGGTTCGCTTCCTAAACCACTAGACTTGACTACAAATTGACGGTAAATATTAAGCAGCGTCAATTATTTCTTTCTTTCACATGGGTTAGGACTTAGAAGTGAAAGGTTTTGAAAAATCACCAGCATGTCTGAGAAAATGAATGAACGAGAGAGAAAGATAGTTTGCGAGTCCAGTTCATTTTGGAAGAACAACAGTAATTAGGTTGAATATATATAGTGAGTTTCCAACAAGGCACTGTAACTGTGTATATAATACCAGTTCTTAATATAAAAGTTAGTTGATAATTTGAGCATATTAAAAAAGTTTATTAAGTTAGTTATTTATAATAAATATGTGTTATTTTTCTTAGAATCCCCTTACTAATTATATGTATTAGTTAAAACTACAATTTGGCATATGCAACTACTACAATGATAGTTTTGAAAAAAGAAGAAGATAAATACAAGAAACGAAATAAATTGAGATCTTATATTTAAGACAATAAAATGTCAAACTAACTTTTATACTAAGAACAAGAGGTAGTAACACAGACACACACTCGCTCACATCCAAACAATATCAGCCAACCATGCTATGCTGATTCATGAAGCTGGCGAAGGGGTGCTTAGTCAGGTTAATATTATAGCATATTTCACGACAGGATGTTTCCTCTGGAGGAAAGGTGGCATTAATTTATTAGTTTTTTTTTTGGTGAATTAATTTATTAGTTTTTCTCTGTGCTTTTTGTTGAAGGATTATAACTAGATGACGTACATATTTTATTTGACTGATGAGTCCTAATTACGTTGACAATGACTTTAACTGAGAAAAAAAATGCTGAACTACGTCCTAGGTTCTGAATAACCTTTTATACATGAGACATTAGAGTTCATATATATATATATATATATATATATATATGCTGAAGTAGTTATAATAACAATAAGATGCTGGCTGCCGGTAATATATAAATATCGTTCATCATAAGAAAGTATATATTCTCAAGTTCCTAGGAAAGGATCTCTCGTTAATTTCAGCGTGTCATAAATGGGGAAAACATTTATGAATCACAAGTGGTTGGGCTGTTGATGTCCAAGAATTTTATTTCTACAAAAGCCTATACACCATGCTGTGAATCCTGAGATTATTTTGATTTGAAAAACATTGACCGCACTATCTTAACAACATGTTTCGAATATCTTTTCTCTGATTTAAATTTAGGGCCATGGTTTTCTAAATTATAACCAGTATCTTAGTCAAAAGAAGAGCTCAGACAATAATTTAGAAGAGTTCTTGTTCTTAGCTAATTAATTATGAAAGACCAAGATGATGAAATCTTTATGTCTGCTATGGTCTATATATAATGAAAAATCTATTAAAAAAAAAAAACCTGCACTGCGTATGCAGTACATCTTGCTTCAACTTTGGTTAAAAGTGCATATATAAAATTATTTGCTTGTTTGGGATAGCAGTAAAAATTTCTTATAAATATGTTTTATGTAGGCAAAGATAAAACTTTTCTCACATACTTATCTCGTATTCTATAAATCACTATTAAAAAACTACTTATAAATTGTTCTAAATAAGTCATAACCTCTCAGTTTCGTTCCAATTAAAACAGATAGGCGTTCCTATCCATTTTTCCTGTGTTCCTGTCTCTCTGACCTGATTTCATGACATGACCTTGGAAGGGACTTCACATTTTTCAATGTTTGTCTGCAAATTAATTATTTCGTCTCGATCAGTCAATTGTTTTATCCAACATTTATTGCTCAATCAGATTACCATTATTATGCTACAGACCAACAGAATAATAATAGCCCTTCTTGTCAATGCATTCTACGAAGTTTAAACTTTAAACTTTGTCTCTTGGCTTGCTTTTATCGGGTTTTAAGTAGCAGTTCAGAATAATTGAAGTATAGCTTTGACGTTTACATCTGAATTCAATGTACATGCCTTTCTATCAGCTTGTTACGTTCAATTCGATGTTTCAAATCCTGATATTGATGGCATTGTTTGTGCCCAGGTCTACACTCTGCGGAATATTATACCTTGTAGTTAGTATCATCATTCATCGGAAACGCATCTTTCGCACCCGCGAATGAACAACTGATGAGCAAATGGTTCTCTATTAAAAGCTTAACTGCTGAGAATCCATTGCCGACTATTCAAACTACATAGTCACCATCTTGTTTAATTTTGTTTAATCATACTATTACACGAAATTACATAACCGAAATTGAAAGCAAGTAAAAGCAAGCCAAAGTTAATGACCTTTGGGCTTTCAGTAAATGTTTCATGAACCCTTCGGTTCCACGAAGTTACATACCGTATTCACATACGAGAATAAAATTCAGATTTTGCTTCTTGCAATTCCATTAGGTGACACCCACCAATAGCTAGCCGTACGTCCTCTAGCCCAAAGTGGACCGACAGCAATTGATAACAGTAAAGCGAGTTTGTTCTCATATTGAGAGCAATCCAGAATCATGAAGAAATTAAACGAAAGTGTTTGGACCATAGTGGGGTTCTCATATGCCTTGAAGAGATGACGAGAATCTCATTGACAATATGAACCAGTACACATATGGGTTTAAAAGGAAAAAGTATAGCCGTATAAGGAGTTGCATTTAATCAAGTAGTCTTCAGTTCACACTATCAATCAGTTTCTGATTAAATCAGAATTTGTCCTACGTACGTTCACTCGTTGGTTTAGCCACCAATCACGGACAAGCTAAGGGTAAATTTATCTCATATATAAATACGCTCAATTTCTACATGCTCATGCTTATCTCCTTCCTCATCCCATATTAACTAGAGCTTCTAAGTCCTTAACGGAAGTCACGATCCGTTTTTCCTCGGTTCAGACACGTTAAAGACTTCCGACTCACTATGATCCAAATATGACCGGCCGATCTTATTCTCTTTTATCAGTTACAAAAGATCGTTCAACAAGGACGTTTTAGGGATATGAACACTGAAAATAAATGTTTATATACACTTGAAGGCAAGCAATTAATTTGATTGGTTTTTATTCATGAGTTGCTTGTTCCCAAGAATAACACTGGATTCTTTCAAGATCATTGGAAACACAGGTTTAATTCCCTTCGTTGTTATTGCTTCATTAGAAGCAAGTGGTATAGTACTCTCATGAATTTTTAATGATTCTGTGTAGACGGTGAATAAAACAATGTCACTGCAAAGCAACTGTCATGACGCAAAAAGAATTAAACCATTCACCTACCCTCTGGATAAAAAATTGCCCACACATTAGCTAGAGACGCGAAGAACCAGCACCAGAAAAGAAAAAAAATCTCAAATATAATTCTATCAAGATCAAATCAAACTTCGCGCATTCATATCTTTATTTAGGGGGTGTTTGGATAAGATCAAAACCATAGTTTCAGAAGTGCTTTTACGGTATACGAAGCAAATATGTGGAAGAGATTGCCTTGATTTGCGGAAAAGTGCTTCTGAAAAGTGATTTTAAGGGCATCCAAACACCCCCTTAATGTCATCTCCATGTGATCGCTGCACCGCGATACATTTCTAAAATATGATTAAGACCTTAATCTTGTGATGTTGAAAAAAGAAAACTATTTCAAACCCCCCCCCCCCAAGAGAAAAACTTAGTTTTATTATTTATAATTATCCACGCAAGGAGATAAATGCCATTAACTTGGGCCGCTGCTGCCTAACTGGAACTCGCTATTCTGGGTTGAGTCGGCATCTATCTTTTTCGCACTGAAAGCGCAAAAGGCAGCGTGGCTCATCTGACCAGCAGTCGTGGGCAATTTACGGACTGACCTGGCGAAACACTGGGCCCCACCTGTCGGCCCACGGTAATCATCCCTCCGTGTTTTATGGCCCACATGTCTCCCAGTGAAACTGCAGTATATAAAATGGATTAATCTTTTGTCTCTCTGAATCGGCGTCCCTCCTTCCGCCAGCGTCCTTTCGAAGTACTATGTCGCTCCGGCCTGCCAACGTGGCACTGTGTGACGTGGACTATGACATGGCACATTTTTTTGTCCAAGTCTAACACCATTATAAAAAGGCCTCTCGCCCTTTCCCCCATACCATCCATCACTGAGCTAGCCGCCTCGAAACCTCATTCTCTTTCTTGCGCTATTGCTGTGCTTATTACTACCTCATCATGGCCATTGACTGTGGTTTGCCATCCCCTCTCGGACCTCCAGCCGGTGAGAAGGACGTTAAGGCTTTGCAGTTCATTCAAGAGATGACCCACAACACTGATTCGGTCCAAGAGAGGGTTTTGTGCGAGATACTGAGCCGAAACGCCGACACGGAGTATCTCCGGCGGTTTCAGCTCAATGGAGCCACGGACCGAGACACTTTTAAGTCCAAGGTTCCTGTTGTCACGTACGAGGATTTGCAGCCTGATATCCAACGCGTCGCTAATGGCGATCGCTCCTCCATCTTTTCCTCTCACCCAATCTCCGAGTTCCTCACTAGGTTAGTCGTCGTCATTTAATTTTCCCTTTCTCCGCATTATTGTAGTTTATATTTCTTTATTATTATTCTTTTATTCTTTAAATCTAAATCTGCATTTTGAATAACTGACATAAACCATAACTGTTGTAACCGCAGTTCTGGGACATCAGCGGGTGAAAGAAAATTAATACCAACCACCGGTGAAGAGATGGACCGTCGTCAGTTACTGTACAGTCTTCTGATGCCTGTCATGAACCTGTGCGTTTCTCTTTGACTTTCCGTTTTCATTTTTGTTCTTATCGCATTTATTCCTTAAATGTTGGAGTCTGCAACTAATGCGGTAATCATTATTAATTATTTTTTATTAATCTAACTATTATGAAGGTACATGCCGGGGTTAGACAAAGGGAAGGGCCTGTACTTTCTGTTTATCAAGGCGGAGACGAAGACTCCAGGAGGACTAGTGGCTCGTCCTGTGCTCACAAGCTATTACAAGAGCCAACAGTTCAAGAACAGACCCTATGACCCATACAATGTGTACACTAGCCCAAACGAAGCCATACTTTGCCCCGATTCCTTCCAAAGCATGTACACCCAGATGTTATGCGGCCTCATCATGCGCCACGAAGTTCTTAGAGTTGGAGCCGTTTTTGCCTCTGGCCTTCTCAGAGCCATCCGATTCCTTCAGCTGAACTGGCAACAACTAGCCCTTGATATCTCCGCCGGAACCCTCAACCCCAAAATCACCGACCCTTCCGTCAAGGATTCCATGGCCAAGATCTTGAAACCCGATCCAGAACTCGCAGACTTCATAACAAAAGAATGCTCCGGTGGGAACTGGGAAGGCATTATCACCAGAATCTGGCCTAACACGAAGTACCTTGACGTGATCGTCACGGGTGCTATGGCTCAGTATATTCCCACCCTGGACTATTACAGTGGTGGCTTGCCTAAGGTTTGTACCATGTACGCGTCTTCCGAGTGTTACTTTGGGCTTAACCTAAACCCTATTTGCAAGCCTTCTGAGGTGTCCTATACCATCATGCCAAACATGGGTTACTTCGAGTTCTTGCCACATGATGATTCATCGTCCCCTTCGACTCTCTCACGAGACCCGCCGCCTCGCCTTGTGGACCTAGCCGACCTCGAAGTTGGTAAATACTACGAGCTCGTTATCACCACCTACTCTGGCCTGTGCCGTTACCGTGTGGGCGATATCCTCCAAGTCACGGGATTCCACAACAAAGCCCCACAGTTCCGGTTCGTGAGGCGAAAAAACGTGCTCTTGAGCATTGACTCCGACAAAACCGACGAGGCCGAGCTGCAAAAGTCCATCGAAAACGCCTCGGTGTTACTGAAAGAATTCAAGACCAGCGTTGTGGAGTATACGAGCTTTGCTGACACGAAGAGTATTCCGGGACATTATGTTATTTACTGGGAATTGTTGATGAAGGACCCCTCTAACCCGCCTACCAATGAAGTGCTGAACCAGTGCTGCCTAGCGATGGAAGAGAGCCTCAACTCGGTTTATAGACAAGGCAGAGTCGCGGACCACTCTATTGGACCGTTAGAGATACGAGTGGTGAAGAATGGCACCTTTGAGGAACTGATGGATTACGCCATCTCAAGGGGTGCCTCTATCAACCAGTACAAAGTACCGAGGTGTGTTAGTTTCACGCCCATAATGGAACTACTCGACTCTAGAGTGGTCTCTGTTCATTTTAGCCCAGCTGCTCCCCACTGGACTCCCGAACGTCGTCATTGATAAATCTGAATGGGGGGAAAAAAAAAATATCAAAGCAACGAACAGGGCTTATGCATCTTTTGAAAGTGTACCTACCGTCCGTGAGTGAGCTTTAGTCCTAGTTAATTTGATTTCATGTATCTTTTTACAAGTGAAATTCCCCTTTCTCTTCCTTTTTTTCTTCTTTCGTTGTGGCTTTATTGAATAGAGCGAATTGTGCTTTTGTATGTGTCTGTGAAAATAAGTTCAAAAATGGGGTGCACAGTAGATGATGCTTTTGTTCCATATTGTATGAAAACCAGGTTTAATTACTTTCTTTCTTGACGTTTAGGAAAGATGTTAAAAGCTCAGATGAGGGAAACCAATCACATGCGCTGTGTCTCTGCATTTGGTAAGTGATGTGCAAAAATTATTTGAGGCGGCATCAAAAAATTTCCAGTTATCTCTCCTGTTTCATCCTACGGACTCTATGTGGCTGTACTGATGTGCACGTGCTAGATATTCCGTTTGGGAAACCAGGTTTGCCATTCGTAGGAAAGTTGATTACGAATCCGCAAAGTGAGAAGCACGGTCTTTAAATAAAACTATATCCTTCGACGCCTTATTACGCTTTTGGAAGCATGTCGCCAGACTTTTGTACCCAACTGATGCGGATGGTTTTAGTGGGTGGCTGCGTTTTCTTTGGGGGGGGGGGTGGGGGGCGCTGATTTACACTGACGTTTGGCAGCCTTATTGATGATCCACATTACCTTTCAACTAAACAGCAATATTCAATTACCCCCTCTACATGAAGTTTGGTTTGGCAGCACTTTCCAACTAACGTGTTTGACCCACTGTTTCCTGTTTGACTGGAGTAAAACGCAACAAGGAGCCGACGAGGTTTGAAGAAAAGTGGCAGGTTTTGGCTGCAAAGTGATGACATTATTATTTATAATTTCCACGTTTTTGAAGGTCCTCATTCAAGTCGTCCTAACTCAGTCGCCATTGAAATCTAACGCGAAGAGACTTTTGAATACAGTGTATGCGATGATTGAAATTTCATCCTCCGTCATGATGTATATTCAAATTAAAGATGCATTTAACCTGATGAATTGCGACCTAGTCAATTGCAAGGGGTCAAAAAAGACTTGGGCAATTGCCTTCTTGGTTCGTCCCGGAGACTAAATATTGGTTTTGACGCAAAGAAGTTCAGGGCGTGCTCAGTGTTCAGCATCGATCCGATTGGCCAATTGATTGAATCAGATCATTTTCTTGGGAAAAATTAGTTGTATAAATTTTGAAATAGATTTTTTTAGAACAAATTAATTTTTATATAAAAATAAGTTTTTATAGAATTTGCTTAAAAGGTCAAATCATCAAAATGCCCAACATAATCAGCTTAATTCTGATCCAATTACTTTGTCCAGAATTTGTTTTGGCCTGAATCGATGTGATGACACGAGATAGGCAACAGGCTGTGCGACTTGCTCACCGCTCGCCATAGACGCGTGTTTAAGCTATCTATCAAGGGCTTGTTTGTATCTGCTTATCTTAAGTATTTATAATTATTTTTATATAAATCGAGAAAAACTCTTTTTACGATATGAGGTTAGCATAATGTAAATCATGATTAAAAAGTTGCTTTTAATATGAGTCATTTGATTTGCTATGGGGGGAAGCCACAAAAATGTTGCATTTATTTTAATCACATAATATGTATACTTTCATCCTTCAAGTAAGGATTAAATGTGGATGTAACGTACAATGCTATATCTATATACAATGCAAGTACTTTCACAAAGGTACGCTTGACCAAAGGATGGCAGACACTTCCACTAAGTATTTAACATAGCTATATGCTCAGATTTGAGATCAATACTTTTCTGGCAAAACAAGCGGGCTCCCCCAGTTATGCACTAGTTGTTTCATAAAGACAAATTTTAAAAACTACTCCATCCGGTCCTATTTATAAACTTCAAATTTGAGAAGAAGTGTAGTTTATTTTATAAGTTTTAATCTGAGTTTGCCTTAATATTATTTTTAATGTGTTTTTTTTAATATTACCTTTAATTTCTCTCTCATCACATTTGCCCATACATTCCCTATCATCACTTTTCTCATTTATTAAAAGGGCATATTTAGAAACAAAAGTCAATTTCTAACCTTTTTATTGTTATTAAGTACTTTTAACTAATTATTTATTATCTGTGAATTAGTTATTTAAAACTTATAATAAGAAGCGAAGGGAGTAGTATCATATTTTTACAAATTATTGAGATAACTGACTAAATATGTCGACCACTTTTAATTTTGGCATGTGAAGTTTCTACATACACGCTCTCCTGCCCCACGTAGCAGCTTGTCTAAAATAAAAGATACCTGTTTGCGTGACATCGAAGAGTACGTATCTTTACTAAAATCTCGTATCAAAAGTTTTTTTTTTTTTTTTGTGAAGATAGGCAAGCGACTTCTTAGTTCTGATCACAATATTAAAAAGAAAGCCAGCTACTGGTAAACTTCGAGATACTTGTTACTCTTACGAGTATACATAAGCCGCTCTCAATTATCCATGCACTGGAGTCAAAGATAATTAATGATGAATCCAAGTTGCAACCATTTGAGTTAAAGTATTTTATAGCCCGAAAGAAGTGTTAAAGGAGTATTTGAATATTGCATATTAGCCGACATAATTAGAGAATGGTCACCTTTCTGTTATTACTTAACTATTCTATGGGCTACCATGCAAGCTGTATTTCCTTCATGATCGTTAGTTTTGCCTCAAAGCTTTCCACAGCAAAGTCACATGTATGTTAATTGAAGAATGTGCAATTAACTAAGGATATTTATATGTAGAAGTCATGAGACGACGAGGATATTTACTATAAACCTTCGAAAATGTTCGCATGGGCCTCAAAACGAATGTCTTTTTCTTTCACGTAGGACAAGAAAGAGGCAGTATAGCAATTAACGAGAGCTTCTCAGAAAGATTATTTCAGGCCGAAGCAAAATGCTATACATCCCGATAAAGGCGTAGCACACGCAGGCCAGCTTTTCCAGGTTAATTGAATCGAACAGCAGGCAATTGAATATGTTGTAGTTGGTGTGTCCGGAATAAGGTTTTAAAGCGACCGGAAGCAGCTAAAGTAAAATCCTCGAATGTCTTCCTGTCTAGTAAATCCTCATTAAATTAAACTCCAGCCCTTTCCGATCCTATAGTTTGTCAGGTTTGAACACAATCTAGTCCCAACCAAAAAGTTCATAAAAGCGCTGCAATAAAGCTCATTTAAAAGTGCAGATAATTGCAATAGAGTAAACGAGTGTACCATTGGAGAGGGTATTAAATAACTCTGTTAAACTTTTGCTGCTTAAAATGGCCGCAATGATGATCGTGTCTCTTGCATCCTCAACATCCTTTGCCGCCAACAGCTGACTCTTTTCCTTTACAACGACGGCAACTCGGCAAGCAATGGTCCCTTTGGAGGCCTCAGAACTGAAGGCTTGAATAATAGAGAACATTTTCAGTTTTGGGTTGGGCTGGACGATTATTGCTGAACCGATTACAACTTCAGGTCGGGCTGTTATTTATTAACAAGACAGGAGGGGGAAAAAAAAAGCACCACGTGTATTATTGTCCTCTTATATCTCTGTATTCTTAACATTTTTGAGGATGTCTTGATTCACTATATTTTCCCCTGTTGCTTAATTGCCTCAGACAGTTGACTGTCCCTTTAGTTCTCTGTCCCTTCTTTCATATGCAAATAAGATCAGAGGTTAAAGGTTACATCTGCTGAGATGGTTGGACCACCATGCTGTGCCGGTTCTGGTTATCCTTTTTCTAAGTACAATCTTCATGCGTACCAGTGGATGACATACAATAATTCATTAGTTTGAGCACAAGTAGTAATGACTTGGTTTGTTGATCTTTTAAAACCTTTGTATTCGACTATTCGTGGGTAGGAACTTAGTAGCAATTGAGACAGGACCTTAATTATTACATGCTCAGACTCAGACAGCCCCATAAATCAGTATTGGGCCTTCTTGCGTAAAACCTTATCCACAAGAGAATGATGTATACGTGCTGCGGGGAACAATAAAGCCTGCCTGCTAGTTATTAATTCTACCTCGAAGAGGAATACGACGGGCTCCTTTGTCGTTAAAGCCTGAGCGGTATTAATAATCCTAATTGAGTCATTGGCTTGGAAGTGGTTGAACCGTAGTTAGGCCACTCGTACTTAATTTAATACATTTCTGATTTTATATGTTAAATATAATATTATATTTTATAAAATATTATTTTACAGAATTATACTTATAGCTCGAGTTTAAATAATGTTATACCCTTCTATTATAGAATGCTACCTTCTCATTTCCTTAGTAAATAAAAATTGAAAGCCAATAAGATGAGGGCTTATCTTCTCTCCAGCTTAACCAAAATGTTATTATTGGTTTTCAAAAATGTAATATGAGAGAATTAATGAATATTTTATGATCTGAAAAAATAAAATGATTGTGAGATTTAATATTTATACTTATAATGTATATGATTATTTTGAAATTTGTATTTTTACAATAAACATTCACATTCTTTGCGCATTTTCCATTAGTTTTTCTTTTTCAATACCCATAATATCTATACGCATAAAATATAGCTGAGAACATGATTTAGATATTTAAAATAAAATTAATATTCTGTCAAGCTTAAACTGGTTCTCCACTTTGCCAATTTCCAGTTTTGCCCCCATTGCCAGATCCGACAATAGGCCAACCGGATGATCCTATATGATTTTTAAAACAATATAATGGTTCTGTTTGGATAAAAATCGACGCGTAGCTCCAGATTTAAATATATAATAAAATACTCTAATATCCTTTGCATTTGGACTTAATTATATGGACTTTCCTTGTATTTTGAAAACATATACTTAAGTCCAAACGGTTAGTTTTATTAAAAATATTATAAAAAGATGCTTTTTTAATTAAAATTTATGTTGAAATACTTTTTTTTTACTAATTTACCCTTCATAATACTAAATTCCTAAATTTTGACTAAAACTATTTTGAAGAATTTAATATTTTTTCCTTTACTTTATTTTATCTTTTATTTTTATTTTTTTAATGTTTTTATCGTATTGGACCATAAAATTAAGTAATTAAGTTAATATAAACATAAAAAAATTGAATAGAAATTTGATGAATTGAATAAATAAAATTAAATTATAAATTTAAATGCTTCATATAATTTTCCGAACGCACATAATTTATATTGTGTGATAAAAAAATAAGCATTTAAAATATATTTTAGCTATTTAAAAGAGACCTTCAATTTCAATATTTTATGAAGAATTAAAATTATATAATTCTATAATATAATAATTAATAAATTTTATAACATATTAAAATTTTTGAAAATGCATGTATTATAATAATTTTTTTGTAAACAAAATTTTTTTATAGATATAAATGTTTAAATAATGTTTATGTTAAATAGAGATATTTTGGTAAAATAAAAACTTAAAAGTCAAACTTGACGATCAACTAATAGTTAGATGGATAAAAATAGAATTTTAAAAATATAAGAGAGGTTTGTGTAATAAATATTCTAATTTAAAAAGAGATTTATTTATATTTTAAAAATAGAGGGAAGGTTTCTATAATTTAGATAATACAAAAGGGTAATCAATATATTGCTCTTAAATACAAAGTCATCGTTTAATAAGTCTAAATAGATTCCATAACCTCTTTAAAATTAAATTTTTAAGGCTTGGGAGATGTAATTGCCATGAATATTGATATGTAGATGTTGAAATATAAATGTCACAGACTAAGCAACGTTGGGTGATTTGGTCCTCAGACTGCAGGGTTGTGAAAGTCAGTCCCCTACCTCCGCTTCCAGCGAACCATTAAGAAACTTCGTAGGGTGACCACCTGGCAAACCGGGCCATTGATCTCTCATCCTGTCGTGGAATCATAGATTCTGATGTTATTTTTGTTTAGAATATCTTATAAATAATTTTTTAATCATAAGTTACGAAATACGAGATAAATAAATAAGATGAGTCTTGTTTTTTTATTGAATATGTTCTTTTTGTTTTTGGGTAAATCAGAACACTGGGGATTGAGATTCCAAAACCTCTTTATTTATCAGTGTCCTCGCGTGTTGAGGAGCAATGTCAAGAACTGCAGTGGTCGTGAGTCCCATCTTTGTTAGCGTATCAGCAAGTTGGTTGCATTCTCTTTGAATAAATTGAAGCTTGATGTTCCATGTCAGAGCCAGGAGCCTTTTAATTTCCCGTGGAGTAGCGCTGCAAGTGATCCTTACACCTTTTTCTCCAAGGATAGAGTCAATGTGACTTTCACAATCAGATTCAACAATAACATCTCTGGATTCCATACCCCAACCCAAGTTAAGACCCTTTAGCATGGCCCACTCCTCTGCCTCACAAGGGTGAATATGAATTCTGTGTCTAGGGAAAAAACCTGAACATCATTCTGGGCTGGGAGAAAAACAACAAAGACTTGTGGGATCAAGAAGTCATTCATCTTTTAAACAAGCGTCCGGGCCAGACTGCTCGAAAATTTGGCCCACCTAAAGTTACAACCAATGGATTGTTATTGAGAGGCCCGAATATGCATATCGAGTACGAGACCAGAGAAAAAGCCCGCAGGCAGAGTGGCCCAAGTGGTCCCCCAGCAGGTCGTTAGAGGAGAAAATCATGTATCAGTTCTAAATAAAAAAGAGAAAAATTAGGGAAAAGATCTTATTAAAAATTTAATTTTATTGTTTAGAAGAACTGATTAAGAATTGGGACTTATTTGTAATTTTAATTTTATGTTAAATTAGACCACGTGGGGTTGGACATATTGGCAATATTATAAGGACGATGACGGAGGAAATGAAAAGCACGTGGCAGGAGGCATGTGCTCTGCCTCTGAGCAAGCCTGCCCTCCCACAGGCATGCTTTTGCTCCCTCTTCGAGGAATCTTATCCGTCGCGATTTGATGACAAACACAAGCACGTAACCCACCCGTGCTCCCCAGCTAACGCCCCCTGGGAAACGGTTTAGACAAGAGTTTAAAATAACTCATATGCTCTATAATATACATTCCTCGTTTTCTTTGGAATGAAAATACCACCGGAATATATCTTTCCCATGATCTGGTCTGTGTCTGGGTTCGTCTTTCAATCAAGGGAGAAAGAACATAAAAATAAGTAATGATATTATGGGCTCGTTTGGCCTTTTAATGATATTAGATGGTCCTTTTATTTCGGCTGCTTCCACTACCAAAAAAAAAAATGATATTATGGACTAGTTTGGTTTTGAGGTTATAAATATTTATAAACATGCTTCATATTTAATAAATGATGATTGAAAATATTTTTTTAAAAAGCCATTTTAGTACGGATCGTTTTGAGAGATTATTATAACAGCGGGACCCCGGCCCAAGACTGGACAAACCCAATAACCCCAAGAAGCAGAAGGGCAAGCTTTGTTCACCCACGAGTCAGACGTTTTGCTCCTCTCCGATGTTTCAACAGTAAATATTACAAATATAATTTTGATAACATTTCAAAATAATTTCATCCCCCAATACTTTGCTAACGAAATTTAAAATTTTTTAATTTAAAAGATATTTTTTTTAAAAAAATTCTATTTTGTTTCGCTGTATTTTGCTTTTGGTCAGGTGGAAAATCTTACCCGAGAAAGAAGTACTGAACGATCGGCTAAACGATGAATGGCGGCTGACCCCAAGAAAAACAGGAAAGAAGAAAACAAAAACAAAAACAAAAACAAAAACAATGATGATAGATGAACGATCCTTGCTTGCAGCCCGTGCGTGCACGGAGCATCCACGGTCAAGACGCTTGCTAGCTGGTGTCCTCCACACACTCGGCACTTGGACTGCATCTCAACCCGTGACTGTACGAACACGTCATTTTCATGAATCGTATGTTTATTAATTATCCAAAATTCACTTATACAATAATACTTATGGGCCTATTTACATAAATCTCATATCGCTAATCATGCATTTTTCTCGTATTAATAATTAATTTCTCAAAATAGTTATAAAAAATGTTTATCACCGTGTTATCAACTCGCCAAATATTACTAATGTATTTCAATATCATTGCCATTGGGAAAAAAGAGATTTATCACCAACAAATAAAAAATTAGTACTGAATACGCTTAGATGTAAAGAAGATTTTTTTAAGCATGGAGGGTCCCCAGATAGAGTTGGGAGTGACATGCCGCATAATGTTAAGCTTCATTCTCATCCCCAGTAAGGTTTGGTATCCCCTGTCCACTGGAAGAAGAAATCAAGAAGAAAATATATATATATAATTTTTTTTTCAGTTATAAATATAAAACTTATTTTATAATATATCTTAAATATCTTATAAAATAAAAAAGATCGGAAATCTGTAAAATAAATCAATAGTGACAACCAATGTTTTAAAAGCCGGACCGGAAGTCGAACCGGAAAGATCAGCGGGTCATGGTTCAATCGGTCGGATCGGTCGGACCGTTTGGTCAGACCGGTGATGCAATAATTAATTTAAAACAATATTATATACATATAATTAGTATATATGAAAAATATCAAATTATTAAATAATTTAGAAATGCATTTAAATAATCTAAAATTATAATGAAATCATTGAAAATGGACTAAAACCTTATATATTTAAATTTATGTATGTTTAAAATATTTAATGATATTACAAATTATCAATTCATTCAAATCAAAATATTTTTTTAAACGATAGACCAAATATCAAAACAAAAAGACTAGCGACTTACGATTTTAACACCACAATATATGAAATTTTCAATGAAATAATACTCTATGGTTATAAATAGTCTAAAAATATATTAGGATATTTAAGGGGATCAATTTTTTTTATTTTTCTTCTATTTTTTTTTAATTTTTAGTATTTTTTCAGTCAGGCTAAAAAACCGTCCGGTTTTCTGAAAACCGTTCCGGTTCCCGGTCCAACTCCGGTTTCCGGCTTAATAACGGCTCAACTCCGGTCCAATCCAGCTCAACTATATGAACGGTTTTTTGGTTCAAACCAAGCCGTTAACGAGTCCGGGTCACGGTTCAACCGGTTCGATCGTCCGGTCCGGTCCGGTTCTTAAAACATTGGTGACAACCATTCCATTCCCTCGGGGTCGTAGATGCCACAAAATTAGGGGTGTGCATGAGGCCCGCATGCCCAATAAACCCGTCCGAGCCCGCAAGAAAAATGCCCAGCCCAACCCAGTAAAAAGCTGCCCAAGCAAAAATGGGCATCTTCGGGCCGGGCTGATTCACGGGCAGGGCAGGGCCGTGGGCACGGTATGCTGCCCTGCCCATTTGGCCCTGCCCGAAAAAATATATAATTATATATATAAGATAATATTATTTCAAGCAATTATCTCTTTTATTTTAGCTAAAAAAATAGGTAAAATTAGAAAAAATGAAAGGAACATAAAAATTATAATTATATAAAAGAGCCAAATATCAAAATATAAGATTCAATATGCTAAATTACTCCAAGTCAAATGTTCTTCTTTTTCTCTTACATCCAATTTTTTAAAACAAAAAAAAAATAAAACCACCTTTCAAATTTTGTGCTTTCACATGATTATAAGAATCCACCAACTATATGGATAAACTAAGAAATTGAAATACTGATTTAGCTTAATATTAAATATTCTAATTATTAAATATATTTTTTTTACCTCCCATAAGAAATCAAAAGCTAAAGAATAAGACTACATAGGCCTTATATATATATATGAATGATAGACTCATTCGTGATAATTTTTTTCCTCTCATTTGTCTCAAAACATGATAATTGATTTTTTTTTTTTACATATGACATAGGGCATTGTGTCATTACGCTGGGCAGAAAAGCCCGCCCTGCCCAGCCCGCCCTGCCCAGCCCGCCCTTGCCCTGCCCAAAATGGTTAAGGCTTCTACTGGGTAGGGCCGGGCAACGGGCTGCAAAACGCAGCCCGCTCATCTTTCGGGCTGGGCATCGGGCAAGGGGCTTGCCCTGCCCAGCCCTGCCCATGTGCAGCCCTACACAAAATGTTATAAAGAAGCAGACTTTCCGATAAACCAGAAGCTCAGCGCGAATCTAATCAGTTCGTCGCTGAATACACTTCACAGTTTCAAGCTGCGTTAACGGCCTTGAGGGCGGGACAAAGAAGAGGTCAACTTCTCTCCTTATTATCCGCCATGCCTCCCCAAGATCACGAGCACGAACAACCACTGTTAGTGGACTCCGACAAACAAACAACCGAAGCCGCTTACGATTCCTCCGAGCAAGTGGTGGTCGTCGGAGTCGACGAGTCCAACGCTGACTACGACGGCTGTGATCGTGCCCCGCCGTTTTCATGGAAGAAGCTCTGGCTCTTCACAGGCCCTGGTTTTCTTATGAGCATCGCCTTTCTCGATCCCGGAAATCTTGAGGGAGATCTTCAGGCTGGTGCAATTGCCGGCTACTCTCTCTTATGGCTTCTCATGTGGGCTACGGCTATGGGACTTCTGGTTCAGCTTTTGGCGGCACGGCTCGGAGTGGTGACTGGGAAGCATCTGGCTGAACTCTGCAGGGAGGAGTATCCAACTTGGGCGAGGATGGTACTGTGGGTTATGGCGGAGTTGGCTCTGATTGGGTCTGACATTCAAGAGGTTATTGGGAGCGCTATTGCTATCAGAGTTCTAAGTAACGGGATTGTGCCTCTTTGGGCGGGGGTCATCATCACAGCTTGTGATTGGTAATTAATTAATCTCATTTTGCAGTGCTTGCAGTTGCTTTTCTTAGTTGTTGACTCTTCTTTTTAATCAACTGCGTTTTCTTCTACTAAGAACCGCACTCTGCACAGTGTATCATATTTTGGCTCTTCGAAATTTTTACTGGCTTTATTCGAAGTGAAGCTCTCAAAATTCTATTCGAGGGTTTGGGATTAGATGCTCTAGCTGGTATTTGCTGGATATTTGGTTCTTTTTTGTCTCAATAGAATATCATCTGAAATTTGGGGAGTATTTCTTGTTGGATCGACATTTTTGCTTTAAGTTTAAAATGGAAATGCTTGATGACGTCCACAAACCACTGTCTTCATGTGTCTAACACTCTTGAGTTGCTTGAACAATTATATTTATTTGCCAGACCATGTGACTGAAGTCAAAATAAACATTGGCATTTTTTCCTTGTTACAGTTTTATTTTCCTATTTCTTGAGAACTACGGTGTGAGGAAATTGGAAGCATTTTTTGCTGTTCTCATTGGTGTAATGGCCCTCTCATTTGCGTGGATGTTTGGGGAAACAAAGCCTAGCGGCAAAGATCTTCTTATTGGTAGGGACAAAGAAGTTCATTTAACTGTTTTGGACTAATACTAATTTACTGGAAAGTATTGTTCTTTTGCTTTATATCTGATACATAATCTGACCAACCTGTGCAGGTATTTTGGTTCCAAAACTTAGCTCCAGAACAATACAGAAGGCTGTTGGAGTTGTGGGTTGCATTATCATGCCTCACAATGTATTCTTGCACTCTGCACTTGTTCAGTCAAGACAGGTTGAGCAGAGCAAGAAAGGCCGAGTTCAGGAAGCACTTAATTATTATTCTATAGAGTCAACCGCTGCCCTTGTTGTCTCACTTATCATTAATGTATTTGTCACGACTGTGTTTGCGAAGAGTTTTTATGGTACTGACCTTGCAAATAGTGTTGGTCTTGTGAATGCTGGGCAGTATCTTGAAGAAAAGTATGGAGGGGGACTTCTGCCAATCTTATATATATGGGGTATAGGGTTATTAGCAGCTGGTCAAAGTAGCACTATTACCGGAACTTATGCTGGACAGTTTATAATGGGGGGTTTTCTTAATTTAAAGTTGAAAAAATGGACGAGGTCATTAATTACACGAAGTTGTGCTATCATTCCAACCGTGACAGTTGCTCTTGTCTTTGAAACATCAGAGGACTCATTAGATGTTCTAAATGAATGGCTTAATGTTCTCCAGTCAATTCAAATCCCCTTTGCACTTATCCCCTTGCTTTTCTTGGTGTCCAAGGAGCACATAATGGGCGCTTTCAGAATTGGCCCTGTCCTCAAGGTATGCCTTTTTGGCATTCAGTTATACTCATCACTGAACAGTTTATATTTTCAGCAAACGAATTTGAATTTACAAATTATTCATTTGGTGTGACATTGTTATCTGAATATGCCTTTATGAACTTTAATTGATTCAAACTCCAACATTTAGTTGCGATAACTTAGACTGGTCCACTGCAGACCCTTTTATCTTGCATAATAGAACCCATGTGCCTATTCTGTGTAGAAATTTAGAGTTAGATTTGGTAGAGCTAATTTGTTTGCCTGCTTTTGCTTTCCTACATTGAGGATTAGCAGGAGGTCAGGTTTTATCCGTTGACCCCTTTTTGCTAATCTTGAAGACCTGTTGTGTGTTCTAAACTGATATACTCCCTCCTAGAGGAGGAAAGCGCTGAGCACCAACAAGTGATGGAGATCCAGAATCGCCTCTTTTGCCTACAACTTTCCTCAATACATCACTCGAAGTTGGTTTAATACTCATATCATATTGTGGCCTATTCATAAAAAATTAGAGGATATCGTGTTTTTGATAGCCTATTATGCAGTCTACTGAGTTTTTCTGCAGTTCGGAGTTATTCATGAAGCTAATAAACAGTTTAATCCCAATCAAAAACTGTCTCCAACAACATAGGTGGACAGATGTCTCGTATAGAGGGTTTTGATTACTTTGTCTGTGGTATCCCTGCAAAGAGTCTATTAAACCATATCCTCTCTAAACCTTGGGGATGCATTTCTTTATTTTACCAACATCACTCTAAACCTTGGGGATGCATTTCTTTATTTTACCAACATCACTTATTGTATCAAAAAAAAGAAAAAACATCACTTATGCCCTATATTGTGCAGTTTGCTGCAGAGTTTAGTTTGTTTTGCTATCATGGATTCCATTTCTAAGTGGCTTCTGATATGAACACAGATTGTTGCATGGTTTGTGGCTGCTCTGGTGATAGCGATCAACGGCTATCTTATGCTGGAATTCTTCAACTCTGAGGTCAATGGAGTAATGTTTGGTGCTGTCGTGTGCGCTTTTACGGCTGCATATGTTGCATTCATACTTTACCTTGTTTCAAGGGCCATTACCTTTTCACCTGGGCAAAGTTCAACACAATCAAAGATAATTGCTGACTCACAGAATTAACGAGTCAATGTGAAGCCAAGTTCAATTTAGGAGGGTTAAGCGTCATTCGGCTGACGATTTTCATTACTGCCTTCACCGCCAATTGTTTGCAAGCACACTCATGCTTGTTACTTGTATAACAACTTGATGCAGCTGGCAGTGGCACCTTATCGTTAGTCTGTGCTTTCATTTTTAACAAGTGATCAGCAGATATTTCTGTCTTGCTATCGGATTCTATTGTACAAAGAACCCATAGGGGTGATGTAGTTGGGTGAAATCTTGGCATCGATCGTGTTCAAACGGATAAATAACAGCTCCTCTTCTTTCATTCTGGCTTGCTTTGCTGTGTGCATGTGGTCTTGTTCAAAATTTGCCTCTTGTTAATAGTCAAATGTGCCATGTCTCACAAGGTTGTTGGGAATCTAATCTCAAGACTTGATATGTTTTCACCATATGTCGGTTTGGAAGCGAATGGTCAATTAAGGAAATATATCCACGTCAATTAGAATAATTTATTTAGGAAGTTTTAAATCAAGTTGCATTTTGAATTGTTGAATGTATTGTCCTCTTTTTTAGGGAGGAAAAAGGAAGCAATTGAGGGATAAGTTTTGCTGATGTAAACTGCATTATTATCATTATTTATTTTTTTATTAAAATTTGAATTATTAAAGTCAGCTCTTTTTAAAAAAAAATCATACATAACGTGAAAAAGGAAATTCATACATAACGTAACACAAAATACGGCTCACCCATGAACATCCATCCCTTTCCATTATTCTCTCTACGTCAGCTCATCAAGCGAAGAAACTTTCATTCATCCACTCGTGTAATTAACTGCCAAGCAAGTGGATGTCATGCTCATCTCTAAAATGAGCACGGTCATAATCTTGGATTGATCATATTACATTAAAAATGAACAGGATGATTAGTTGAGTGGAACCCATTCAAATTTTCCTCAATTTATGTTGACCTTTTTTTTTTTTTTTGGATTGCTCCAGGGTATTCCCACCGCCGATAGCAGTGAGACTAATCCCCCGTCCTTGGATCGGTGCACGAAACGGTAAGGGACTGGTCACGGGGTGCTTTCCATTCACAAGAATTAGGGATCGAACCCCTAACCACTTGCTTAAGGGACGAGATGTCGAACTATTATGCCCAACACAACGTGATTTATATTGACTTTTTTTGTTGATGGAAAGAACACGCTCAAGGAGATAGGAATGTTATCCACGCATGGCATGATAATATTAAATTTGTTCCGATAATACTGACATCATATATAATAAAAGAAATCAATTCATGCTCATATGAAGGGATCGTTTTCCTTTAAGTTAGTGATTGGAGTTTGAGTTCTAAACTTTTTATGGAATAAATGTAAATAGATTTTTTTTTCCTTTTTACACCCTCACCATTGTAAAGTAAATCAGTCCGCCATCAATAAAAATAATGCTTATCCATGCAAAAGGATAAACAATTTAAATTTAATATTAATTTACTTTTACATTTTAATGCAAAAGCATGAATAGCGTATCTTATCTCAGGTTTTACACGAAATGCAAGCTCATAATCTAATTAGGTACCCAAACACATTGAAAATCTGATAAATGAAGTGTAACAAAACTAGGCGCATCAACAGCCTATATTTTTATTAGAAAAATAAAAATGAAAAATATAATTTGAGCCATGCAAATTCGGAATCGATTTCGTAAATTCGATCATCAGTACATTTACATGATGACGTGTTATGTATAAATTTTGGGGGTCAATTTATTCACTTTTTTATGCGTATACGAAAATTTAAAAGATAAGCGCAATCATAATGAAGAATTTGTTAACAGTTTGACTCATTTTTCTTTTTCAGACTTTATATAAGTCACGAATTTCACATCCGTTTAAGCGTTTAATCGTTTATGCAAAATAAATTAATCTTAAAATAATCTCATGTTGTTGCCCGAAACATAAAACAGAGAGCTCTCCCATTGGGAATGAAATCCACATAATTAGTTATAGAAGGAACTTGAATATTTCAGGCCCGGCTAGCGTAACTTGCATCCTTCCTTCCCTCCTTTTTCTCTGGTGAGGTAGAGGTGGTTTCTCCATTGCTTTCACTCCTTCCCTCCTTTCCCTCTTTCTCTCATTTCGATCTGCTCCACCGTGCGGAGCTCATTTCGTATTACAACGCCAACCCATACTAGTAACTCATGGCGCGGGAATCAGCTCAGCTAATCTTTACCTTCTCCCTAATTCTATGCCTTGCGCAGTTCGGCCCCTGGATTGTGGTCGGTATCCCCGGCGACAGTGGCCACATTTTGCACTTCAAAAAGCTCCACGATGGCGCTCCCCCTGCTATGATATTGCCGCTATATCTTTCTGTTTCCAATTCTTCCGTTTCCGCCTTTGATTCCCGCCGCCAACTCCAGAGATCCGAGGCCCAACACCACCCTAACGCTCACATGGGGCTCCATGATGATCTTCTCCTTAACGGGTAACTCCCTTGATTGATGCGCTTCTTCTACGTCCCTTTGTTCCTCGTGTATTTAGTTTTGGGTGTGTTTGTGGGCTCTGTTAAATGTAGATTTTTGCGTTTCCTTTGGGGGACGATGGTACAGGTACTATACAACGCGGCTTTGGATCGGGACTCCTCCGCAGATGTTTGCTCTTATTGTTGATACGGGAAGTACTGTGACGTATGTCCCGTGCTCTACCTGCGAACAGTGTGGCACGCACCAGGTTATCCATGGAGTCCTACTTCTATGTGCATGCATGTTTGGATCAATTGGTCAATTTATAATGTAGATTGTTTAGCGGAATCCTTCTATTTTCATATTGTTTATGATGGGAGAGCTGTCGTAGAAACCTGTGATGTCAGAAGAAAATTCTGTAACTTTAGTCTATCAATTTACAGAAAAGCAAAACAGTCAGCACTTGTTTACAGGAATCCTCTCGGTCAAACAAAGAACAGGTCTCCTTAAACAAATAAAACAACTTTCTTATTGAATAACTAGAGTCTTCCAAAATACCAAGCATAATAATTCTTAAAAAAAAAAACTTATTAAATTAGAAATCACTGAAATATTATTCAAACCTAAAATTTCAGCATGCCCACATCTTTGTTTGAGCTTGGGACGATCAGCATCTCCGCACCAAATGCTGCAACACCCTCAATGTTGTGCTTTGGACCACCCATGCAACTCATTTCTTCTCATGAAAGACATAATTGCATAAGAATGATGTCATTTGTAACTTTCTGCGCAGGTGCATGTACACCGTTAATTTATCAGAAGTATCGCTAAATTTGCTTGCCTGGTCTTATTTGAACAGGACCCGAGGTTCCAGCCAGAATTGTCTAGCACCTATAAACCTGTCAAATGCACATTGGATTGCAACTGCGACAGTGACAGAAATCAGTGCACATATGAAAGACAGTATGCTGAAATGAGTACTAGCAGTGGTGTCCTTGGTAATGATGTCTTATCCTTTGGAAATCAAAGTGATCTTGACCCTCAACGTGCTGTTTTTGGTTGTGAAAATCTTGAGACCGGTGATCTTTATAGTCAGCATGCTGATGGCATCATGGGTTTGGGCCGTGGAGATCTCAGCATTGTGGATCAACTAGTTGAAAAAATGCAATAAGTGATTCTTTTTCATTATGCTATGGTGGAATGGATTTTGGCGGGGGTGCTATGGTTCTTGGTAGAATATCTTCCCCATCAGACATGGTCTTTGCATATTCGGATCCTGTGCGCAGGTTTGTATTGCAAAATATTCATCTAATGGATAGAGATATCATGCATTTTCTTAGCAAATGCATTTGATTAATCTCACACATTTACTCTAGTTTTGGGATGGCAACAGTCCATACTACAATGTCGATTTGAAGGAAATACACGTTGCTGGGAAGCAGCTGTCTTTAAACCCAAAGGTTTTTGATGGAAAACATGGAACTGTGTTGGATAGTGGTACTACGTATGCCTACCTACCTGAAAAAGCGTTCCTTGCATTTAAAGATGCTGTAAGCCCCCCCCCCCCCGGGGGATTATTTTGATTGCTAGTTGTTGCAACGTACTTTCTTGAATCTTATCTTTCATTCCACAAATATTGGGTTGCTTGCTTTGTCGTCATATATATCATCAACATGCCAAATGAGTAGTTCTTGATCCGTCATCTTGTTTATGATATACATTTTTAACGTACAATGTTTCTAAAATCCAAACCCCCAAAAAAAAAAGCTGTACTTGTCTCCAGTTCCTTGATAGTTAGTGTCTTTTCACTTCTGGGAGCCTCAATAGTTTTACTTTCTCAATTACCAAAAAAAAAAAAAAAAGAATGTTCGCTTGCTGGCTCAAGAAAATAAGCATTTAAGTACATACCTAGCTTTTTACAAAGGGACATTAAGTGCCGTGTCTTCTCTATTTTCAAATTCTAGCAACTGAATTTTGTCGCTAGTATTTGATGAAACTGGTTTTGCATTTACTATCCGCAGATTAAGAAGGAGCTTCAGTCTTTCAAGCAAATACCTGGTCCAGATCCAAATTATAACGATATATGCTTTGCTGGTGGCGAAATGTACTTCTTAAGCACTGCCTATGAATAAAAATTAATTCTTTGTTCTGCTTTTATTAACAATTTGATATTTGCTTCTGTTTCAGAGCTGTTTCTCAACTCTCTAACAGCTTTCCAACAGTTGACATGGTATTTGGAAATGGTCACAAGCTGTCTCTGTCACCTGAAAACTATTTATTCCGGGTTAGTTTTAAATGAACATCACGAGTATCTTAGGTTGTGTCTATCTTTTCTTTCCTGACCTTATATTTTCTGGTTCTATCTTTTATGAAGCATTCAAAAGTGCGAGGTGCATATTGTCTTGGGATCTTTCAAAATGGAAAGGATCCAACTACTCTTCTAGGAGGTATTCTATTTACTTGTAACATTCTGTCAATTCATGATTTACCCTTGCATGAATTGAAAACTAGTTATTGAATAGTTCTTGAATTGTGCACATTGCTTCTAAGTAAGGAGTTTCTTGAATACCTTGGTGATCCTTCTTCAAATATGCTTGTTTTTATAGGTATCATTGTTCGAAACACTCTTGTTATGTATGATCGAGAGAATTCAAGGGTTGGTTTTTGGAAGACTAATTGTTCTGAGTTATGGGAAAGGCTACAGTTATCTGCTTCCCCACCGCCAGAGTCTTCTGAAGGAGCAAATTCTACTGAAGCTTTTGCACCATCAGTTGCTCCATCTGCATTACAGCATGATTTACATCCAGGTATGATACATAGCTGATCTTTCAATGTGTATGTAAGTAGATATTCTAACATCACATTATAGTATGGGATGAGATACTGTACATGTATTTGCACAATCTGTAGACACAATTTATTTCGCTTCTTAGTTGTTGTAGAATTTAGTATGAGTACTT